TCGAAAGATGCAAGAATTGTATGCAAGTATTTATGAAAATATATATAGTTACATATGCTTCTCTCCATTTTATTCGTCGCAAAATCTGCAAGCGAAGCGTTGCTTTTTCGCGACAATAACCACTGATAAGTTAATAAGAATTCAGGGAATATATTCAATGTGCCTATTCCTTCCTACTGAATTTCTATTTGAATTGCACGTTATCTAGACATAGTTGAGAACGAGAATATAGTCATGCTACAGCGACGTGATCTAATGTAATTCTATTTGGTTCGAAACGTAACTCGGTTCAATTACACGTAATTTAAATCTGATTTATCTCGTACAAATATTCAAAATGTAACCAACTCCTAATCCATTGCTATGTAATTCTTGATACTAATCAAGTTCGTAATCAAACGCAGCCGCAGCTACATCGTAAACACTTGTCACGATCAGCCAGACAAATTAGCGCAAATTGTTCAAGTCGATTTTCATAGACTGTAATAATAATAAAGAGAACGTTCCTCGAACTTGCTGATTGTTATTTAGTTTCATCTTTGCGTTCATACATTTCTAAGGACGCAAGAGTAAAAGATGAACGTGAAATTTTCAAAGTATTTCTGTAGGGGGCCATAATATGAGGAAATTATTTAAATTTTAAATATTATTTATATTATTATTAATTATTTATTTAAATATTATTTATTCGAAATTAAAATCACCTGAATAATTTCACTCGAGTGTATTTGAAGATGTTGTAAATTCCAGAGGTAGGAAAAAATGAATTTCTCGCAAGCTTGCGAAAGAAGCAGGATCGATTAATGTGATTTCATTCGACATAACGCGCGTTAACCATTTCGGCGAGAAAAGTCTCAATTTTATCCAATTTTGCAACTCATTACCCTTAATTCTCAAAAATATCAGTAGTTCAGGCGTATGAATCCAATTATATTCCTCACTCCGTTCCCTCGGTCTCGAGTTTCTCTGAAAAGCTTCTCGATTCAACGGCTGCTAATAAAGAGTTGCAAACTCTTTTTGCAATCGCCATGACGATCGATCGAGTAATTCTGTTTCTTCGAAGGGGAAAGAAAGTTTTAAAGAAAGTTGCTACTTTCTACTTCTCTCTCTCTCTCTCTCTCAGTGACTGATACGCGAAAAGGAAGAGATGTTTTTCTTCCAGCAAACAGAAATAGAGAGCCAGATCGAACAGCATTACTTAATTCAGTTTACTTAAAATCAAGTCGATACGACTTTGCCAATGTAAACTGGTCTTCATTATCCGATCTCGAGACAAGCTTGTATGCAATTTGCTCATTTGTTGACGAAGTTGTTCGAACCAAATTCCATCAAATGAACTCTCGTCGGTGGAATTTGTTTATTTGAATCTGAACGAGAAATCGTTAGTTATCGGTAGGGAAGAATCAATGGACTCATACATTACGCGAGGGTCACATATAAATGGATA